AAAAAGGAAAATTGTGCTCTATATTTGTACTATGAATTGAAATGCATTCTTCTGTCATATATAACAAATTAGAATAAAAAATTTAAAAACATAACAAAACAAATAATGTTGCAATAGATAATCTTTTTGAATAAATTCTTAGAAATGTGGATACCAGGTGAAAGCATAAATTATTAGTAATTTTACATTTTAAAATTACCAAATTATATATAATATATAATCTCCATACAGATTATATTATCTTTTGTTCCCACCAAAGATGTGTGTGCCTCTTTCCTCATCATCATATGTATATCTGCCAACTTGACAGAAGATAAAAACATTTCAGTATAGTTTAACTTTATCTTAGAATAAGAAAAATTAAATGTTTTAAACTTTTTTTTCCCCCCCAGTACTGGGGATTTAACCTACAACGGAATTATATCTCCAGCCCTTTTTATTTTTCATTTTTTTTTTTAATATTTATTTTTTAGTTTTCGGCAGACACAACATCTTTGTTTGTATGTGGTGCTGAGGATGAACCCGGGCCGTCCGCATGTCAAGCGAGCGCACTACCGCTTGAGCCACATCCCCAGCCCCTTACTTTTCATTTTGAGACAGGGTTTCCCTAAACTGGCCTTGAACTTGAGATCCTCCTGCCTTAGCCTCCCAAGTAGCTGGAATTACAGGCCCAAACAACCAGGCCTAGCCTCTCAATGTTTTTAAAGGGTTGTTTTTATTTTTTTCTGCAAGCTTCCTATTAACGTCCTTTGCCTGTTACAGAATTGTTATCAGTCCAATTTTAGCATCTGTGCTATTAAACAAATTTTGAAAAAATTTACGTAGGTTTATGGGCTTCTCCACAGACATGCAAATCAGAAGTGCCCCCCCCCCAAAAATATATATATATTCTTTCTTTTCTCTCTTTTAATCAGTACTTAGTATTGAACCCAGGAGCACTTTACCCCTGAACTACATTTTCCAGCACTTTTATTTTATTGGTAGTAGGAATTAAACTCATAGGTGCTTTACCATTAAGCTATATCCCCAACCATTTTTATTAATATTTTTGTTTTAATTTTCCTTTCTTATTTAATATTTAATAACTTATTTTTTTTTTGTACCAGGGATTAAACCCATGTGAATTTAACCACTGAGCCACATCTGCAACCCTTTTAATTTTTTATTTTGAGACAGGGCCAAGTTAAATTGCTAAGGCTGACTTTGAACTTGTGATCCTCCTGCCTCAGCCTCCCAAACCACTCCACTGGGATTACAGGCGTGTGCCACCATGCCTGACTTTGTTTGTTTTTATACAAGGTCTCAGTAAGTAATTTAGGGATTCACCAAATTGCTGACCTTGAATTTGCAATCTTACAGCCTCAGCCTCTGGAGTTGCTGAGATTACAGGCATGTGTGTCTGTCTGGTCAAGCCCTTTTATTTTCTTCTCTGAGACAGGATCTAGCTAAATTGCCTAGGCTGGTCTCCAATTGGGATCCTCCAGCCTTTGGCCTCCTGAATAGCTGGGATTATAGGTGTGAGCCACTTCACCTGTTGCTAAATATTTAGAGTGATCAATTTGTTTTGACAATGTAGGTTAATGATAGATTCCTAAATGGGTGGCTTTTAGAAATATAAATTATTACAGCCTGTAATCCCAAAAAGGTTCTGGGCATGTAGCTTGGTGTTAGAGGTCCCTTGAATTTAGTCCCTAATACTACAAAAAAAGACGGAAAAAAAAAATTTACAGCAGTTTGAGGTTTTATTACTACAAAGTTAAGGAGCTACAACATGTTGTGTATTAAAATAGTGATGTAAGCATTAATTAATATAGAATTTAATGTTAACTTTGGAGTAATGATATAACTGTTTTAAGTTTAAAAAATAATAATTAGACCCTGGATTTAAGTTTTCTAACATGAGGCAGAGGCAGCAGTTCATTATCAGGAATAATGAATTAGAGAAACTAGGAACAGATTAAAATCAAACATTGCAAATCAGCGAGGGAGTATGGTGTGGCCTTTATTAAAAGAAAACTGATCATTCTGAGCTTGCCTATAAACCCAAGTTTTGTCAAGTTTATTCATTTTAGGAAACCAAAACAGCCTGTATTACTTATAAGCTTTCCAATTAAATTTTAAACTATATCGAAATTAAAAACTGGCTATCTTTGCCCAGCGCAGTGGTGCACACCTGTAATCCCAGCAGCTCAGGAGCTGAGGCAGGATTATGAGTTCAAAATCAGCCTCAGTAATTTAGGGAGGCCCTAAGCAATTTAGCAGACCCTGTCTCTAAATAAAATACAAAAAAGAGCCGGGGAGGTGGCTCAGAGGTTAAGAGCTCCTAGGTTCAATCCCTGGTACCAAAAAGAAAAAGAAAAAACACCAAAAAACCTGGCGATCTGGGAAGGGAATAATGCTTGATAACTCAAGCAGGCTGAACCAAATACACCCATCACAAATCCTCCATTGCAAAACAACAATAGGAATGGAGAATAAGGTTCAGGCCCAGCGCGGGAAGAGGAGCGGGGCGGAGTCAGGCGCAGAGGGGTGGAGCTATCCACAGAGCTGAGGAGGACCTTGCCCGCGAGCCTTTCGCTCCTCCCCGTGACGCCACAGGCAGGCCCCGCCCCCAGATGCCCAGGACTCCCCGGTACCACTGCTGTTTGCCTGCGCCCCGGAAGCTGCCCCTTCTCGGGGGTCATGATGGGCAGCAAAATGGCGTCTGCCAGCAGGGTCGTTCAGGTAAAGAGACTCGGTAGTTTTTTCTCACGTTGGGCAGAGAGATGGTGCAGATGTGGCAATGGCGCGAGGGAGGAAAGGCGGTGGCACAGGATGCGTGCTGACCGCGGCCCTGAATAGGGGCATGGCTGCGCCCGGGGTGTATGAGAATGGGAGCTTAAGCCCATTGCGTCGGGCAGTTAAGCCAGGGTCCGGAGCTGAGGGTTCGAGTCTGGCAGTGGGAGAGCGACATCTCCGCAGATAGGTACGTACTGGTCTGGGGTCTCTGGACTCCTCCGCCAGGTCCTCCCTAGCCTTAGTTTGCGGGCTACGCTGTCCTCCAATAGCCTGGCCAATCGCGGTGTAGTATTGTCTGTACTGTCCCCAGTGGGCCAATCCGGAGTAAGGCCATAGCGGAGCGTTAAAGGAAGCGAACGCCGGATCTGACCCAGTGTCCCTTCAAGGTCTTGGGAATGTCAGGATAACTGGCTCCTAGGGCCGGTTCAGCCCACCTTTTTCAGGCATCTGTCTACAGGCTGAATGGGGAAATAGAAAAATATTTTCCTTAACTTTATTACTAGTATATATTTTAGTGTTATTTCCCAAACCTTTTTTCCCTGCTTAGATAGGCAGCTGAAGTAACATTGTTAATCCACCTATGACCTACTAACTCTTGACACCTTTTCCTTTGCTTCTCCATCTTAAATAGGAGAGGTAAATTTGGTATATAAATAGGCACGACCTTTTGTAAATTGGGTTATGTGGTCTTTTTCCAACCCTAGAAGCATGTTATAGTGATTAGTTTTTGTCTTTGATATGAGAGGTACATTTCCCTTTACATTTAGTACATCTCTTAAAAGACCTTTTCCTGAAGTTCCAGAAGTTGTATGAAAGATAATTCTAGATTCCAGTCTTCGGTTCCATTGCAATAAATGATGCTCACTTATTTATTCAGTTACTGAGCATTAACTAATTAAAGATTCTCTAAAGACAGAAACCTGACAAAGGACTACATAACCATAATATCAATAATAAATATGTAACCCAATTAAAAATGGGTCAGGGAGTTGATGCTGCATAATAAAACAGTCAAATGAGCAATAAACATGTGAAAAATGCTCAGTAATCCATACTTGCCTGCAAAATACAAATTAAAACTAGGAGGTACTGTACATCCACCAAAGTGGCTTAAATTTATTTCTTCATTGCTTGGGATTGAACCCAGGATCTCATGTATGCTAAGCACTTGCTCTTGTCTCTAAACTACATCCATAGCCCTTGCAACTAAAATTTAAAAGACTGACAATACCAAATGGTGATGTGAACAGGAAATACTGAAACCCTTATACATTACTGGTGGATGTGTGAAATGGTACTGCCACTATGGAGAACTGCCAGTCTTTAAAAAACATTTCTCTATGACTCAGCAAATACACTTATAGATTTATTACCCAAAAGAAATGAATGCATATACCTACAAAAAGACTTGTATGGGCTGCAGCTGTATCTCAGTGATAGAGCACTTGCTAGCATGTTTCAGGCCCTGGTTTCAATCCCCAGTACTGTAAACAGAAAACAAGAAAACATAAAATTCTGATAGAAAGTTAATAGCAGGGCTGAGGTTATAGCTCAGTGGAAGAGCACTTGCCTAGCATGCGTTAGGCACTGGGTTTGATTCTCATCACCACATATAAATAAGTAAATAAAATAAAGGCCCATCAACAACTAATAAAAATATTTTTTAAGAAGTTAATAGCAGGTTTATTTATATTAGGTCCTAAATCAGAAACAAGGATCACATGATATGACAGAAAACTTTACATGTGTTAATGTGCTTTCTGTCATTCATTATAACTTCAGTTAGGAATTTCAGTCCATGATCAATTGGGACTGTGGTAACATTTTGTATATGTGTAATATAATATCAAAACCAGGAAACTGACATCAGTACAGTTAACATAGCTTATTTAATCATATTTATATGGATTCATTTGTGCTCTTGAGTAAAGTTCTATGCAATTTTGTTTTTGTTTTTTACATTAAGATATTAGATCCATTTTATTTATTTTTCTCATTCAAATAAAACATTTAATTTGAAGGACTAGTTGTACTTATTGGGGGAAAAACTCTGCATCTGTAATGGCTAGAGATAGCCAGAGACTTGAGCTTCATTCCATAGGAGAGAGCAACACTAGAGAAAATGGTCATATGAGAGGTTTTTTAAATCAGCTTGTAGAGTGGGGAAAGCTGTTTAGAGAGGAGTGATGTTTGAGCTGTCTTAAGGGATTATAGTGGTCGTAATGATAGACATGGAAGTGGAATGGGGAAGAGAATTCCTGAGAAAGGATGTAAGCTTCAGATGAAATGGGCATGGAAATAGCATGATAAATTAGGGAAATGAGAAGTACTTGAGAAAATATGGAAGGACAAGTACATCAGACAGTGGCTGGGAATGAAACCAAGGTAAGGAGAGGCCAGTTTCTGATAGGCCTTGTGAGTGCTAAGAGTTTGAACTTTTGGGCTGGGGTTGTGGCTCAGTGGTGGAGTGCTCGCTCGCCTAGCATGTGTGAGGCACTTGGTTCAATCCTCAGCACCACATAAAAATGAAATAAAGATATTGTGTGCACCTACACCTACAAAATTAATGTATACAAAAAAAATAAATAGAGGTATTGTGTCCATGTACAACTAAAAATATTTTTTTAAAAAGTGTGAGCTTTGTCGTGAAAACTGTGAAATATTTTTCTTTTTCTTTTAAGAGAGAGAATTTTTTAAAATATTTATTCTTTAGTTTTCGGCGGACACAATATCTTTGTATGTGGTGCTGAGGATCGAACCTGGGCCGCACGCATGCCAGGCAAGCGGGCTACTGCTTGAGCCACATCCCCAGCTCCGTGAAACATTTTTCAAACTTAAACTAGGGGAGTGACAGTAAATAGAATTTTTTTTTTTTTTAAAGAGAGAGTGAGAGAGGAGAGAGAGAGAGAGAGAGAGAGAGAGAATTTTTAATATTTATTTTTTAGTTCTCGGCGGACACAACATCCTTGTTGGTATGTGGTGCTGAGGATCTAACCCGGGCCGCACGCATGCCAGGCGAGCGCACTACCGCTTGAGCCACATCCCCAGCCCCAGTAAATAGAATATTTTAAGAATCTTAGCTATTCAAGGAGAAAAATTGTTAGAGAATCATTTTAACAATGCAGGTAAACATGCTTTTATGGTGGTGACTTTTCAGGCTGGCCCCAACACTTTATTTACTTCTGTACCCATATAAAAATTATATAGCAAATATATACAAATATATTGCAGATAAACATACTTCAGTCTCAGTAACATAACAATTTGCATATTACATTAGTTGGCAAAATAGTACTCTGTTCATTAGATTTTTTAGCACTATATATTCAGGAGATTTCATATTGATAGGCTCATTTGAGGTCCTCTATAATACTATCTGTAATTTTGGGTATGAGAATACCAATTAGAAAAACATTATTCTAAAAATAAGTATTTTTTTTTAAAGAGAGAGAGAGAGAGAGAGCATTTTTTTAGTATTTATTTTTTAGTATTCGGCGGACACAACATCTTTGATTGTATGTGGTGCTGAGGATCGAACCCGGGCCGCACGCATGCCAGGCGAACGCGCTATGGCTTGAGCCACATCTCCAGCCCCTAAAAATAAGTATTTTGATAGGTAAAGAAAAAAGACAGAAAGCTATCAAATATTTTAATCTGTTGTATATGGATTTGGAGGTTATAGACAGTATTTTCTCCTTTGTGCTTTTCTTCATTTTTCCCAAAATAAATAAAAAAAAAATTGGGAGGGATACTGGGGTGGGGATTCATCCTCAGCCCTATTTTGTATTTTAGAGACAGGGTCTCACTGAGTTGCTTAGTGCCTTGCTTTTGCTGAGGCTGGCTTTGAACTCATGAACCTCCTGTCTCAGCCAAAATTTTTATACAGATTGTGTTACTTTGGTAGTCAGAACAGGTGTCTTTAAAATGACCTAGTTTTCAATACAGTTGCTTTCTATCCTATTTTAAACTGTTACATATTAACATAGTAGAGAAACCACACTCCATACAGATTAGGAAACTTCCAATTCTTTTCTTACCAATGTATAAGTCACAGAACACAAAATCCATGCTGTCCTATTCATTGCGTGGTTTTGAGGTCAGTTGTTAATACATTAAAAAATCTTGTACTGGACACAGTAGCACATGCCTGTAATCCCAGCAACTTTGAGAGGCTGAGGAAGGAGGATTTCAAGTTCAAAACCAGCCTCAGCAATTTAGTAAGGTCCTAAACTACTTAGATCCTGTCTCAAAGTACAAAATAAAAAGGAATTGGATGGAGGGTTGGGCTGTAGTTCAGTGGTAGAATGCTTGCCTAACGTGTGAGGCACTGGATTAGATCCTTAGCATTACATGAAAATAAAAAAATAAAGAAGTTCTGTCCATCCACAACGACAAAAAAAAAAAAAAAAAAAGAATAGGGATGTAGTTTAGTGATTAAAGTACACATGGGTTCAGT